TTATATTCACAGCATGCTTAGCAGCTGAAATAGGTATCAGTATGTGAAATACACACCTATCTTAAGAGAAGCTTAATGTTTTAAAATACAAACCTCCAACAGTCTGAAATAGTGGGAATTCTTTCCTTTCTAACTTAGTAACATGGTGCTTGGCTGACATTAGCAAGTGAATTCTTATTTACAAAGTGCCCTTATGGTGCCCTGTGAAATTCAACACTTTTCTCCATGAAAATTGGCGCTATGTATCATGAGAACATAATCCCCCAGGACAGGAGAAACAAACCTCTCCTCCGCAAACAGATGTGCACACATTCCCCACCTCTGTAACTTAGGCTGCCTTTTGGCAAGGAACTTCAGCAGCTGCACATCTGCAGAGGTGAAAAACTTTCAGCAGAAAATACAGAGGATCTTATTGCTCCCACACCTGCAAAGCAAGCTCAGCATTTGTTCCTCTCCAGATGACACCCTGATGAGTTGATTAAATCATTCAGAAGCATGCCTATTCACATTGCTTGCAAAACACCATGGTTATGACAGCATCTCACCTGAACTGCTTACAGCACTAACATGGTTTGTCAGCAAGAACTTAGCAAGCGCTCTCACAGAGTATTAAGGGAAAAGTGCCTTTCAAGGACAATGTTAATATAAAATAATTCTACACAATACAACTGTGTGAGACCACTTGTTATTAGGGAAACACCTAAAGACATGTTTAATTTTAAGCACATGCTCAAAGCCCACTGTCTTCAATTATATTTGAGCTTATGCTGCCCAAAGTCCAGTCTCAGCTTCTCAGAGCGAAAATGACATACAGTACTGGGAAACAGAGAGCTCTTCTGGGGAGATTTAACCACGTGCTCAGATCTGTGCATCTGCTTAAATGATCTGTCAAACTGGGGGCACTATATAGAATATTTAAATATATAAGGATCACATAAAAACTCCACTATTCCTAAAGTGAAATTTAATCAAAACGTGGAGCACCTAAGAATGTTAAATGAATCTGGCTACAGACAGCACAAGTCTTCTTCCCCTGAACCACTCACTCTCAAGTCAAATTAACCTTTTTGCAAATGACTAAAAAGGCAAACCTGGTAGCATATCTGCGGCAGGACAACGGCCTCATGCTAAATGGGAAAGTAGTCTAGTTGATGTAGAAGATCACAGGATGTTTAATTAGTAAAAACCTTTACTCATCACTGTTGCTATTGCTCTCTGTCCAGTTAGCTCCCAGGAATTATTACTATTCCAGCTTCAGACTGATTTCCCTGATCTAAGAAGATGAGGTAATACTCACATGAAAGATGAAAACAGTATCAAGGTTCACAAAGCTCATTCACTGAAGGACATAATTCCTTCAAACTACTGTCTGTCCAGCTGTGCTTGATTTCCCCTCAGCATTACTGTGGGGCGGCATTATTTCCAGAAAGGGTAGAAATAAGGTCATTGATATACATCAATACTCTAAAGAAAGAAATCCTAGTGTTAAATATCAGATTAAAAATGGGATTGAAAACATCAGATCCTTTTGAAATAGTTTGAAACATGAAGAATTGGTTTGAACTCGGCAGAGAAAGCTGGAACCTGACTGTATTCTGAATGCAGGGGACTTAGTCACTCAAGAGATTTCCATCTATGAATTCCCTTAACTCTAAAAGGGCTGGCACATTCTGCCTGTGTTGGCAAAAACTTCAGTAAGTCTTTCATCTCAACCAGCAGGATGCATGCCTATACATACAATCCAACACAAAGGACAACAACACAAAGAACTCCCTGTATGAACCAAGTTAGTTAGGAAACACTCAAATAGTCAAGCCAACAATTTCCAAGGTTATCTATGTCATGAAGACATCCTTGTTTATTTTAAACCAGCATGAGTTTCAGTTGCAATACAATCAGCCACATTTACTGGCAAGCAAGTTCAGAGGCGGGTTTTGAAAGCAATCCAAATAGGAGGTAGGATATGAAAGTAGGGTTCCATTGCTTACATTCCACTCCCTAGTGAGTTCAATAAAAAAGACACACACACAAAAAAAATTAGCTACTTGAAGTGTTTTCTGCTTACTTCTTCTTACGTCTGAGATTTGCGAAGAAACTGTTCCTTTTGTGGATAACTATATGATTCATACTTCGCAAAGAGTCCCCTAACAGTCATGCAATTCTGCTGCTTTTTAGTTTCTTCTCTCCCTCAAGGAATTCAAATATTTCGAGATCAGTGAACCCAAACCATCAAAAACTAGATTAATAATTGTTAATAGATACACAAATTGAACAGCAAACCTAGTTCTCATGGTCCTCTGATCAACTCACTTCAAAGCCACAGCAAATTGAACATAAGAAAAATCAGTAACTGTCCTTTTGAGAAATTGTGCTGTGTTCTGATGGAACAACTGGATGACCATATGCATGTATTACAGCTTTCCAGTAATTACTTGAATTTCCTTAGATACAATAAAGTCTTGCCACCTCACATAAGCATTAATGGTGCCATTAAAACTTGCTTTTGATCATAGGATTGCCAAGCCATGTTAAATTAACATGGGTCAACAAATGCGTTAGGCTGTACTAAAACAAGATTTTCAGGTCAATTCTCTAAAGCCTTGTTCTTTCACATGCCCCACGCTGAACTTTCCCCACAGCAGTCATGGTGGTGCCAAGCAGTTCTGAAACATTTCAAAAGAATGTTAACCTTAAAGAAACTGCTTCTTTTTGCTGTGGGAAATACCACTAGTTAAGCAACACTAAGGAATTACTGTAATAAAATAAATACATGTTGTATTTTTCTCCACCCTGAAGTAGCATTTTCCACAAAATTACTTGGAAGTTTGCCTGTTAACTCTCAGTACAATATGGTAACTTTCACTATCTACCAGTTTTTTTTGTTGTTTTTCTTTTTTTTTAATTATTCTCTTGCAGCAAATGAATAAACATTATGTTTGGATCTGAAATCATAGAAGTGGGGGGTGAAGTTGGGGGTTTTAGGGGAAACCAATTAAAAAAGCAGTAAGGGAAATCTGTACTACGGTACAACATCAGCATTGTTTCTTACAATTGATGTCTGTATGTTTAACGTTTTGTTTTTAAGCTAATCTTCCTGTAGATAGCAATGTATAAATCTGTGGAAAATATGTTCACAATGTACAGCTCCATGACTTAGATAATGAAAAAAAAAATATTTAGGGACCTTAAATATGGGCAAGGGATCAGAGAAACCACAGAACTATTATATGAAGTTATTCTAATGTAACAAAATTGTTTGCATATTGACAGGTTACTAGATTGATTCCTTGTAGCTATTACAAAATGCACTCTTTTGGATATTGGAAAGAAAAAATGTGTTTGCTTACCAAAAAAGGTTCTCCAGAATTGGGATTTCAGACAATATGCATCTATAAAACAGAGTCACTTAGGAAGACTATCCTGAAACCTCCAAAATCAGCTAAAAGATACTACTGCACAATTTAACATTCACACCTGAATAAACCCATGTAAGAAACACATTTGACTTGACCAGAAGACCCTAAGTAAAAATTTAATAGTCTTCTAGTCCTGAACACTTCACTTTTAACAGATTTTCAGTTCTTGATTTTATTTCAAGAAAAAAATTCATGGGAAGTTTAAGAAAATACTTTCATCCCTGCAATTAAAAAAGATTATATACTCAAAGGAAACTTTCTTTTAATTAAAAAAAGAAAACTGTTGAATTACATAGTATTAAACATATGCGTACACACCAAATTTGTGGAGTCCACCTAAAGAAATCAACAAATACCTAAGAGGGGTGATTCACCCTCAGTAACATGTCAAAGTAACATGTAACAAAGTAACACCCTCAGCACTGTCAAATCAGAGGTATCTCATGAAACTAATTCTTGCTCTGAGTAACTGAGAGTCACTGAACAGTTTGCAAGCTAATCACAAACTATTTATTAGATTTATACAAAAACTTGAAAATAAGTAAAACCCAGTGCCAATCAATTGCAAAGCAGCAATGACCGATACTTTTGATTTCTGCAGAATGGAGCATCCCTTTTGTTTACAGAGCAGAGGACAACAAACAAACAATGAAAAATAGCAGCCCTAAAACAGCCATAACAATAACAAAAATAATTCTACCAAAAAGACAAACACTGCAGTAGATTTGCAAGACGGTGCAGAGTGTGTGCACTAATTCCATAAACTCAGGTTCATTAATATGATTCAAAGACTTCTAGAAGTTGCCTGCTAGCGTGTAGAGGTTATGCTCCACGTAATGAAAATGTGCAACATAAGCATCTTACTACCTAATGCCCTTCCTTCAGTACATGAATTTTGAAAAGCCAAGCTAAATCTTCAGAAATGTTTCAGTGAAAAAGTACTCTGATGAAGTAACTATTTTAGTCATTTTAAATATTCCCTTAAAGATCCATATCACCCGCAGTGTTCCAAACGACTTATTTACCTGCACAGAGAGCTCATAAAGAAAGGAAATATTTGAAAATAGACAAAAGGTCTTGCAAACTCAAACAAATGAGCTGTAATACTCTTCAAAAATAATTTAATGGCATTCATAGGAAGAAACACCCACAACATTCACATTGTGTGTGTCAAAGTTACAGATCTTTTGGTCCAACCCCCAGTATGTGGTACAGAGAACTATATCCCAGAAGCATGCCATCCCACATAAACACCCACAACCAGCCCTTTCCAAGCTCTTATTCCTTGTGGCATTAAAAGGTTCTTTCTTTATCTGAACTTAAAGATGAAATATTTGCATTCAGAAATACTAAAGCTTCTCACTCTTGTTTTTTGGGGCTTCTTGGTTAATGTTTCATCTGTGTGCATTACAGGTTATAGATACCTCTCCATGGATATTGCTGCATTCAAGAAGATAAGCACACATTCAACAGAGGTCATTTAAAAACATATATATATATTTTATTGTGGCCATAAACCAACTGCAAAAAGCTGCCAATTTTTAAGATTTTGTTTTTAATTTCTTTTTTTTTTTTTAATGGAAGATGTCTTCAAGCAAATCCCTGAAATACTTCCCTATGTTCAAAATCAAACAGGGAAATTTAGACTGACCGCAGAGGCCAGGCTGAAAGCTATGCCCAAAGCCATATGAAAGGTATGTTTCTCAGATTTGCTATAAAATCATTCCCACTAAAATTTCAGCATCACATTAACAGATCTCTGTTAATATAATTCTCAGAGTGAGTTTAAATATCTCCAGTGAAGCATGCACAACAGTTAAGGTAGAAAACATAACTAAATCCACTTTCTATTAAATAAGAAACACTACTGAATTGTGTGCTAACATATTGTATAAATATGTCAGTAAAAATTGTATTAAGTTCACAAATGGCAATGTAAAGTGACAGAAATCCAAAGAAGCTTATAAAATCTTCAATACCTGATGTTAATTATACTGAATCCACTTCTATTTAGTATTTTCATACTAAACTACAAGTTCTTGCTTGCTGTAGTTCAGTTATCATCACTTTAACTCAACAGATGAGGGAAGTCAAGGAAAAAAAGGAAAAAAAAAATTTCTGTGTGGCTGAAGTAAGAGCTTAAAATGTACATTCAAGCCAAAATTCTGACCCCTAGGCAGATTGTCTCGAAGGCCAAAGTGCTTGCTTTCCACTGAAGATGAAAATTTTCTAGTATTTCCAAAAAGATTTAAAGTTATTAATATTCCTTCATCAAATAAAGAATTACGATAAAACAAAGAATTTGAGTTTCTCATCTCTTCCTTCACAAAGTTGTTCCCCCCCCCAATCCATGTTCTTAGTTATTTTAAGTTCTATATAATAAGCCATAATCTATCATAAAAATTGGACTGAACTACAAATTACTGTCTATGGAAACGCAAAAGATAACAAAAAAGCCAAGGGAAGACTTAACTGTGCACATCTGAAGATAAATTGAAATCTTTAGGTTTTGATTAAGCCCTACAGAAACTGGGTTAAAGGGTAGATTGTTCTTACATCACCTTCCTTGAACTCAAAACACTTACCTGCTAATTTTACTAGTGTACAAAGTGAAGTTGCTCTGAGTTCCAAAACTACTGTTAATGCCTATAGACCACTGCTAACATGGATCGTCTTTACACTTTGATTACAGAAAAACAAGCTAAAAGAAACTAAAAGAGCTAACTCCCTGAATTGCAAGTGAGGTAAAGAACAAAGAAAAAAGCTGAGCTCAAGAATCATGAGAGATCGCCTTCAGGAGCTTAAACTCCGAGCCAAAGAACTACAGATGGCTGGAGAAAATAACTGTCCACCTGTACGAGATGAGCAGGAAGAGTTTGAACAGCAGGCCATTATTTATGAAAGGGAGCCTATAACCGAAAGGCACTTCCATGAAATCCAGAAGCTTCAGAACGAGATCAATAATTTGGTGGAGGAAGTTCAAAAATTCAGTCAACAACAAAAAAGTCTAGTATCTTCAATGAGAAGGTTCAGTGTTCTTAAAAAGGAATCTAACACAGCAAGAGAAATAAAAATTCAAGCAGAGCATATACGAAAAGGTTTGGATGAACTGTCAAAAACAGTGAAAAAAGTTGAAAGTGAATATGGGTTATCACGTGCTATAGTAAGAATTCTAGCTTCCCAGCACACTTTCCTGTCCCGGTGTTACCTAAATGCTATGCTTTCATACAATGAAGCTATAACAGCCAAACAAGAGAAATGCAGAAGATTTATTGTTCGTCAGCTTGAAGTAGCTGGTAAAGAGGTATCTGAGGACGAAGTCACTGATATGTTCCAACAAGGAAAATGGGAGATTTTCAACGAAAATCTACTCACCGAAGCCAAAATTACTAAAGCTCAGCTTTCAGAGATTGAACAGAGACACAAAGAACTGATCAGCCTAGAGACTCAGATCAAAGACTTGAAGGACCTTTTCATTCAGATATCAGTTCTGGTAGAAGAGCAGGGGGAGATGATCAACAACATTGAAATCAGTATGAACAACACTCAAGAATACACCCAAATATCTAGAGAAAAATTTGGACTTGCAGTCAGGTATCGAAAAAGAAACCCTTGCAAAGTAATTTGCTGCTGGTGTTGCCCATGCTGCAAGTGACAAAGCATCAGCTCTTATGCAGGAAACTGAACCTATCAACCAACCCCAGGATTCTTTCATTGCTTCATTTTTCTTCCCTTTTCCCCTTCCACATTTCCACTGAGGAAAAATTGCACCTGTTTTTCCAAACTGAGTTCAAAGACTGAAATGAGATCTTCATCTGTGCCTAAATTTTATGGTTTCCACTGAAACACATACACTAGAGGAAAAGATCAAAGGAGACAAATAACACTTTCTTGTTTTTCCACTCATAAGAAGCATCAACAAAACAATGTACCAATCATGCCATATGTGCTTTTGAGAAACATCAAAATTATTGTAAATCTCAGGATTCACAAGACCAGTTGAATTACCTGTTATAAAATAATTAGTATTCTTTCAATTGCTGTTTTTTTTTGTTGTTGTTGTTTGGATTGTTTTTTGTTTTTGTTTTTGTTTTGTTATTGTTGTTGTTGCTGTTCTTGTTTGTACAAGTGCTCATATTTACTTGGTTCAAGTTTCATTTTTTTCCTCCCAAAATACAAATAAAAAAGTACAAATAAAAGTAACACAAAGCAGGCAATCCCAGTAACAATAAAAAAATTGATGCATAAGCTTTTCTGACTTCTTGTTTGGTTATCAAGACTACGTATCACCACCTGTCTGAGAAGAACTGTGCTCCATTTTCTCTGCACCTCCCTGTTATGTAGTGGTAGGATTTCCCACCTTGGTTTCTTCCTACTTCTGAGCAAATGCAGATCTCTTGCATCTCCTCACATCACACACTCCAGCAACAGCTCAGATTCACTGCAGTATAATCAACATTTGTCTTCGCTGTCCTTCTTGTCTCATCATTTTATCTCTATTTACTTTTTATTTCCCTTGCATCTTCCTTTTCACTTTAGTTTCTCAGGTTCCCACTCCTAATAGCGCTATTTCCATGTACAAATGCAGGTGCTTACACGTCCCCAGTAGTTACATGTATTTCTGTGCACAAATAAGTATATTTTCATGGATGAATATAGTGTCCACGCATCAAACATTGTATACTTAAATCAATTCAAAATTATACTTTGCAATGAGATTTGGATAACTAAGATGGTAAACTCCCGTAACTTCATTAAAATAAGCAAGCAGTTTTCCCTCTACTTTTGCTGAATGTAAATCTTCCATAGAAAAACAGTATAAGGTGCCTAAAAATGTATCTGCTGGATTTCCATATACATAAAAGACTAATTAACCACTTAAGCACCACAGTTAAAGCTGAAGAAATAGTTGAAGAACTAATGAATCCCTTCACAAAACTGAGATACTGCACAAGCAAGTTCTGCTCAAAGACTGCAGAGAGTCAATTAGAAGGAAATAACATCAATAAACTTAGTTTAGTCAACAATTAGACTCAATTAACAGACACTGTCTCCTGATTAGCCAAGACAAGGATCGGAACCAGGACTAAATACCAAGAAAGTGCATGAGCTCTGTGGATGTTAAGATAAACACCCACATAAACTCTATTACAGGATTAGAGCAGAGATTTATAGGAAAAAAATAAAAATAAAAAGTTATATTTGTTTTGAAACACTGCACAGTTGTCAGCTGTTCATTTTTAGAAGAACAGATTTAAGTCAAACTAGTCGCATTAAGATGGCTTTATTGCCTTCTCCATCTATTAACACAGAAATGGTAGTTAAAATCTAAACTATTTTTCAACATACAATTAGCTTTCTTAACTGTAATCCATTTCATCAAAACATATAAAAAAGCTTCACTCTCAAACCACCAGAATATCACTACTCCTTGGAAGGCCTCTCTTTTCAGCTTTAAGCATAGATTATATAATACAACAGAAACGCACAATTACACCCAACAAAGATACTGTTCTGGGAAACCATTTTCAACTTTAAACTTACAAAAT